TCAAGGTACAGGTAGCTAAAGGACCTTAACAGTAGCCATGCCATTATCTCAACATTGGATTACCTTGAAATTTCTTCTATAAAATTAATTAGTGTGCTGTACTTTTTTTTCTCTCTGAGTTTATTGGTACATTTTAGGTATACAGTACAGTTACATTCATCATTGGGATCTTGTACCTTTACATGACAGGTCTTGATTCTCATTTTTCCCTTTGTCCCTGCCCTCCCTTCACCCCCTCCTCCTCTTCCCATTTACAAACATTTTATTTCCATTTTTCATTTTGTCATATTTTTTTCTTTTCCCTTATTACCTTTCCCCTACCATTCACACTTTCCCTACACCTTTAGCCCTTTTCTTTCTATTTCACATTGTCAATTACATCAGTTGGATCTTATGTACTATTATAGTTTTCCACACCAGAGAAACTATTTGGTATTTACACGTGTGATTTATTTATTTCACTTAGGAGTATATCCATAATATGTATCCATTTTTCTATGAATGAATCTAATTTCTCATTCTTTATGGCTAGTGTGCTGTCCTTAATATCAGAGTCAGTCAAAGTCTCTGGAGATGAGCAAATTTTCTGCTAATGGATAACACACATGATCTGTAATCCAACAGCCAATGCAGTTCTTATTCCTAACTGAAACCTCATGAGCCTAGTCTTTTATCACTTTCATTTCTATCATCATTCTGGTCTTCTGAGCTCTGACCAGAATCTCACATTAAGTTTGACTTACAGCATTCCTTATCTAATTCTTTAGCCAGTATTTAAAAGCTGTTCTAAACTCTTCCCAAAAGCTCGTTCCAAATGCTTCTGCATCACATAGCCAGGTAGCATAACAGAAATGACCTCACTCTGGTACCAAAATCTGCCTTAGTTATTTGTATCATTTCTGCCACAAAAAAACCCAACCCCCAAAGTTAAAGAAGGAAAGGTTTATTGTAGCTCACAGTTTGTAGAGGTTTCATTCTATTGTTGGCTGGCTCCAAGGCAGTGTGGCATGGTAGAGGAGCTCTGCAGTGGAGAAAGAGTCCATAGTTGAGCAGGCAGGAGACAGCAGGCAGCAAAAAGCAGAAAGCTCCATTTACCATTTATCCCATCCAGGATACTAGCCTTTGGGGTGGTGGCACCCACAAATAGGGTGGGCTTTTTATTACCCACACCCAGAACTATGTTAAACCCATCAATGGACTAATTTAGTACCACCCACCCTTAATCCCAGTATCATACATGTGTGTGTGTGTGTGTGTGTGTGTGTGTGTATAATTTATGTAATAAATTTAGGCCTGTTTGAAACAGAATTTATGGTTTATAATATATGTGAAAATATATCATTTAAAGAAGTACTGTATAATGGAAGAAGAAAATATATAGTGCCATCTTTCTTATTGTCATTGTACAAATTACCTGACTTCTTTGTAATGGAGCTAATCTTTTAAATAGCCATGTTCTCCTGACCACAGCTTACAAGTAAGTGCCTCTTTGCTAGTCCAGTAGAAAAGTTTTCACATATTTTTGCTCTTGATTCTCATTGTAAATCTGGCTGAAAGCAGTCAGCAGTACTATCCCACAGACTGAACACTGGGCTACCTTACTAATTCTCCCACATTAATTAGTCCAATACATTCTACCTCACAAAAAATAGCTGGATATAGTTTTTTTTTTAAAAAAAAAGACAAATCCTTTGCCAAAATACAACACAAATGGTTACTAGTCTAAATTCCAATACAGAATATTTTTTCCACTTGAAAGCTTCTGATTTGTCTACATTCCTAGCAGTATTCTGAGCCCCAGTAGAATCTCCATTTCTTTTTTGGTTTTTTGAGATAGGGTCTCATTATGTAGTTGAGACTGACCTGGAACTCACTGTGTAGCCCAGGCTGGTCTCGACCTCACAGTGATCTTTCTGCCTCAGCCTTCCAAGTGCTGGGATTACAGGTGTGTACCACCATTTCCGGCACTCCCATCATGTTTTGCTAATAGCCTAACACTCTTCTATATGGCATCTATGGCTTCCCATTCCTCCCCTAAACCAGTTTCAGGGGATTCAAAACTACGTGGTAAGTTACGGTCACAGCAAAGATCCTATTACCTGACATAAAAAAACATAAATTCTGTTTGGTAAATGGATACAGAAAGTTCAAGCCATAGTCAGATGGCTATAAAGAAAGGAACTCAATGGCAGAAGGGTGTGATATGACAAAGCTTCATAATTCATGGAATCTGAGATGCATAACGGTAATAGCAGCAGAGAGGCAGGGGTCTCCAGACCCCAAGATTATGCCTCCATGATCCATAGAGACAGATGTACACATGAGCTTTACTAGTAAACTGGGCAGCTCTCAGGGCAATCAAGTTAACAATTCATCTTACAGTCATAGTCACCTAGAAAGACTTAATCACCAGGATTTTCTCTTATTTTTCTTTGCATCTGCTATTCATTGTTTTGTTTTTGTTTTTTTCTTTTTTTATCAGTATATGTTTGCAGTACCTAAGTTTATATTCCTTGTAGGGAGTTGTTACATGTAGATAACACATCTGAATTACTTCTTTTCATTCCTTCTTTTCCCTTCCTCCCACTCCTTCCATCTCTTGCATCCTTTCCATTTGAAAAGGTTTAGCTTTCTACTTCCCATTATCTGTGTTTTGTTTTGTGTTTACATTTTGGGTTTCTTAAATAAGAGAAATTATGCAATATTTAAGCTTGTGTTTCTAACTTATTTCCTTGTTTCCCTACAGAGTGAAAACCTTTTATACCCTTTTCCGTACACTGTCAAAGATGATACCCCCAAATCCATTTTGAACTGCTTTCCTTTAAGTTTTTATGTCAAAGAAAAGTATTGACAAAAAGAAAATTTGTCAAATGTTAATTTGAAATTTTCCCATAATTACACTGTAATATAATTAATACTACAATAAATTAAATTTTGATGAATTCATAAATTAGGAAATATACATACATGATGTAGAAAGTTATTCCTTGCTCATTGCCAGGTTTTTAAATGACAGGGCCTTTATTTTTCATGTGTATGCATCTGTCTTTCTGTGTGTGTACATTCTCTACAACTTATTTGGAAGTGGCAAGGTTGGGAAGACCGAAAGAAGGAAGGAATGGAGGGAGGGAAACAAAGAAAGAAAGGGAGAGAAAGGAGAGAGAAAAAGAGAAAGGAGAGAGAAAAGATAGAAAATAACAAAAACTGAATTATTTCCTGAATTTACTTTGAAATAGAATCTATGAATTTATATGTTTTGATTCAAATATTGAGGTGTATCTCTGTGTCTAAAGTTTGCAAATCTGTAGTTTCAACTCACCATGGCTCAAAAATGTTTGCAAAATAAAATTGTATCTTTACTGAGCATGGACAGATATTTTTACTCTTGGCATTATAAAGTATTTATATCATACTAAATATTATAAGTAATGAAAAGAAGATTTGTATACACAAGAAGATGTGTGTAGAATGTTTGTAAACACTATGCCAGTTTATATAAAGTACTTGAGCATATGAACAACGTGTTATCCATGAGGGACCTGGAGATAATTTTCCACAGTACTAAGGGATGTCTTTATTAACTAAGAAAGATAGCATTTTTTTTCTAATTTGTAAATGATGCCATATGAGATAGAGTGTACAGTTCAATCACAAAATGCTTTGCAGTTATATTAATGGTGAGAGAAACTTTAAAATGTGAACAATACATCTTCCTTGGCCCAAGAGCAGTTGCTTCCCTGTAAAGTGAAAATGGGATGTGGGAATTGAGCTTCGTTGCCAGAATCTCTCAGGCACATTCCCTGAGGAGACTTTCTTTAGGAGCAACACAATTAATTTCCACCTGCAGAGAGAGGACTTTAACCTGCTGCATTAGCCTAGGAAGCAGGAAATCTAGGTTCTCACCCCTGTTCTTCAGAGTATAAAAAGTGCACAGTTTAGTGATCTACTTAATCAAGTGTGTTTCTGTTGCCCTTCACCGCAAAAAAGGCAAAGTGAAACTTGTCTTGCTAGTCTCAGAGCACTGTTTCAAGGAGACATGGAATCATACTTGATTGTTAGAAGTTTTTGAACACTTTAAAATACGAGATATAAGTGAGTTGTTTAAGTATTCCAGATGTCTTTTATTACTTCCTGCCTCATATTTTTCCTTCAATTGTTTATCAGATGAATCATATGGGCCTGGCGGCATGACCTCTAATGAAGCTGAGAGACTTTCAGAAGCAGCAAAGTAAATCATTCTACTGGGAGAAATCATCTTCCGGGAAAAGATGTAGGTGTATATTTTTTTCTGAAGTCAACATTCCTATCATGTCCTTGCAAACTTACAAATTAGAGGTGTTTCTCAAAGTCATGGTGATGGAGTGGAGAAATATGACTTATTATTTAAGATTATTCAAGAAGGAACCCCTATTTTACATTCCATATTATCTCAACATATAACATCATAAAATGACTCTTTTATTGATCCTGGAATGAATGGTTACTCATGCATATATTTTATCTGAAATATATCTTCCTATATTTTAAACTGTAACTTTTTGCCTAAGGTTCCATTAACTACCTCATACCCTATAAATTTAAATTTCTATTTTAAACTTCTATGGTACTTAACCAAATCTCTTTTGTTTCTTTTTGCTGTTATTTACACATTTAGTAGGGAAACAGAATGCATACACATGTACACATGTTGCTTTTACAAATATAGTGTAAGGAGGTGGGGTCTGTTTTGGTTCCAATAGTTTCAAAACCTTTTTAAAAATAAGTAAACACCTATTATGTGCCAAGATTTAATACATTTTAAAATCCTAATTACCACATTTAGAAGTAATTAACATCTTACTCTTTGAGTAAGAGAGTCAAAATCTGGAAAGCCGATGTGCTTTGTAATTTAGCAATCAAATATCAGAGCCAGTATTCTAAACCGGCCTATTTCCAAAACCCATTTAACTTAAACCTTACTGTTTAACTGAAAAATTCAGTGGTCTATTCTGTTTGTCAGTTTAATTTATTTGTGTCTGCAATTGTTCTTTTCAATTTGTATTCTTGGTGGGATATACAGAATAAATATTTTCAAGGTATTTAAAATAACAGTTTGTAGAGTGTGTAAGATTTCCATTTTGAGTTTGGCTCAGGATCCTGGAAGAAATGAAGAATAAACCCAGTTAAAACTCAAGTCATAGATTATCAAAAATGGGGGCGCACATTTTATATTTTCTGTGTTGAGTTCAAACAGAAAGAATACTCTAAGGATACATGTCAGAGAAACTTATAAAACCACTTGTCTGTATATGGTGGAGCAAAACTTTTAAGATAATAACCAACTAATTGTGTACCATCAGAATTCAAACTTTAAAGTATTTTTCCAGGACAAAAGAAGATTTTTGACTAAGGGAAAGACCATATTCATTGATTCATTCTATCAGGCTTCCCTATAAGATATGAGTTGAATGGTTAAAAACAACTTTCCCTGAAAAAAACAAATATGAATTGTAGCAGATGGAAATTGCAGAGACAAACCAAAAAAGAGAAGTTTAATAAGCTACTGTACCTAAATTCAGATTATCTGACATTATCTTAAAGAATCCTCTACCCTATAAGGGTAAGGCAGACATTTACTCTTTATTAGCAATTCTGTTATGTATTTCTTAAATATAACCTGTAATAATTGTTACTGAGATTAGTGAATTCAGAATTAACCACTGAGAACAGTTCTGTGAGACAAAAAAATCACATTAACCAAATTCAGTTTTATTTTGATAAAAACAAAAACAAAGAAACTTTAAAAATTTAGACAAAAATGTCCTCAAGACCTGAAGAAAGTCAATAACTGACAGGACCCGAACAACACATACTGAAGATACAGTGAAATCTCTTAATTGTATATGGACTTGCATAGGATTAAAATTATCTTGCACAGGTGACTTTGTGTGCATGGTAGTGACAGTCACTGTTTGATGAATTAGATCTACTAAATATTTAATTGTTTGAAGCAAAATGGTTTAATGTATTCAATTCCACAGCAACCATACACTAAACTGTCCAATGAAATATTGGCCATTATTTAGCAGGTATAGTATTCTTTTCCATTGGGCCAAATTTGAAAATATAGTCACTTTGGAGATTCTTCATTTCTCTAAATCACATCACACCAATATTTTCTTCTAGTTGATTCAGTGTTTCTTTAGAAACTTTGATACATTTTGACAACTCTCATTTTGCATTGTAGTTAAGAATATTTAATTGAGTTAATTAAATATCTGATGTTTTATTAAATACAATTTCATCTTTTTCAGTATATAAAATTACCATTATGATTAATATTTTATTTTTAAAATAATGAATGAAGGAACAGAAAATGTCTACTAGAAAATGTAAAATGCCTACATATCAGAAATAAGAAAGGCCAGGGATTTAGCTCAGTGGTTCCACCACCGGCTTCGCAAGTGCAAGGTCCTGAGTTCAATCTCTGATACAAAAAAAAAGAAGAAAAAAAAGAAAAGAAAAAAAAAAGAAAATATGAATTCTTATGGTATTTAAATTTTAAAAATTACACAAAATTACTCATAAAAGTATTTTCATATATGATCATAATTATGACAAATAAGTTTCAAAATAAAAGCACTTTTGAAAATAGAAAAGAGTAGTTAATGGGCTTCTTTTAATGGAATACAATTATAATATTGCTGAGTTTTGCCATAATGGTGGTTTTAAAATGTTGAATTATCACCCACACAATAGGAAGTTTTATGTTGGTTGAAACTTTACTCTAAGCAGTAGCTGGGCTTCAGGCCTCAGGCTATGATTGTTTCAGGCTGCTGTTTCCCCATTTCAGGTATGATTGCATCTATCTTTACTTCAGGAATAAAGATAAAGGAGTAGTACTTGTATGGACATTCTGCAGTAAAGTGGAAAAATAAAAGCTGCTATAAACATATAACAATGATGGCCTCTGCTCTGAACTTTGCATAACTATGTTTGCTCACATTAACCAAATGAATCACATGGTCAGTGTAAAAGCAGTAAAATAGGGAACTATTAATTCCAGTATTTTATTGGAAATCAAATGGCCTACGAAGGTTGTGTCTTCTTAGATCTATTTAAAAAAGAAAGATGGGAAGAGCAAAAACTAACCTAACATAGATGTATTATCATACATGAATTTGATATTTTATAAATTTATTAAATAAGCATATAAAATAACATATGCTTGGAATATGTGTAGATATTTATTACTAACAAATGTTTGTTACTTATTTTTATTTTTGTTACCAGTATTTAATGACAGCATGCGCTGTTATTTATATAAAATGCTTTTGATTCATTTCTTATTTAATACTTGGAAAAAACAGATCTTCTTCCACTATATGGCATTAGAAAGGGAGTTGACCAAAGTGTCAAAATGTGCAGGATTGAACCAGACATATCCTGCAAAATTGTGTGGAGAAATAATGAAAATCTGCTCTGTCCTGACTTTTCTGTTAAAATGTCAACATTACAAACACGTAATTAATGGTGTTCTCAATATATGTTGTAAAACTTAAATTATATAAATGTTATTTGGTACTGACTATACAAAAATACTAACATTTATAAAGTCAATCTCTGAATTTAATATTTATTTCAGCTTGGGAATATTTCAGATGAGTCTATAATAAACCTAAACAGGTGTATATGTTTTTTTTTCTTGAATACTTAGTTATTTTTAATTTTATTTATGAATAACCGTCATGGAGGTCACAATTCATTTTCTGCATCCTGAAGTTTTATAATTGTAAAATTCAGTCAGTTTTGCAGATGTAATATGATTTAATGCACCAGTTCTCACTAAAAATTTTTTGAATTATTTCACGTACATTGCTATTGCAGGTATTAGTGCACTGGCTATCCTTTTCTTCTCATTTTACACAGTATTTCTGGTAAAAATTATTAGAAGTTGTGTTGTGAGTTCAGACAGCAAATTTACATAGTACCACCAATGGTACATGCATAATGGCAGTAGACAGGATAGAAAAGTATCCATTTCAGCAGTGAATGATATAACTTATTTACATTAGTCCCTTGGTCACATTTTTAAATTACAGCATATTTTTTTTTCTTTTTATTGAGGTTATTGGTACAATCTAGGTATACAATACAATTACATTCATCATTGGGATTCTGTACCTTTACATAATAGGTCTTGATTCTCATTTTTCCCCTTGTCCCTGCCCTCCCTCCACCCCCTCCT